TTTTGAATGCGTAGAAAGCAATGAGGACGAGGATATTCAAGGGGCAACCCACCTACGCCTTTCTTACTATGCCTAAAAATCGGTGTGACTAGTCATTACATTTATAACAGTGTTTTTGTGTTATTAACGTAATAAAATAGGTTGGGACTCTGCAATAAAGTGACGCTGTTGATCGAAAGGGGGCAAAAATCGAAAACCAAAAAAATCTCTATGGCTTCCAACGATACCCAAAAAATTCGCTGGACGAAAAATTAACCCCCAAAAACTTCCATATTAAATTTCCGATCCTTAAAAATTTCTATGAAGGATTAAGTGATGTAACAAACAAAAAGATGGAAATTGGATGTTTTTGGTCGTTTATTCATAATCACATCTCAATTAATTATAATTTTCTTCTCATCTGGTAGTAAAGAAGCACGCGGCTTGCATAATACGCAAGTGGTTATTTTGAATACCCCCGAAATCCCCACTTACACTATGGCAAACACTCGCCAAATTTCCCACCTAAAAAATCCCCAAATGAAAAATTTCACCTCCTCCAAAAAATCTTTCCATCATCCGGGCCACTTTAACTCCGAAGTACCTCCGTCCCCCTAGGTTTTAATGTAAATCGGCACTTGAGATTTCTGCATCAAGATACTTGTAATAAACCAAGTAAGAATACATGATGATCTCTCCAGGGTCCCGGGTGGGGTTAGGATCCGTGTTGTTGAACCAGCCAAAATACTGTATGGTGTTGTTAGAGGGCTTAAGCGCACTGGTTATATCCACTACCCACGGAATCACTTCTTGTCCATCACACCACCCGTCACGCCCATACAGCCACGTGCCATGCTCATTTGGGACCACGCCCTCAGGAACGCGATCCGCGCATCCCATGGCGGTGCCTGCGTTGCTGAATACACGGGTGTAGTTGTGTTCCTTGTTAACTATGAAGTGATGCGACGTGACGCAGAACTCAGCGCAGTTGTTGTTATCGCTGCCGTGGCCTGTTATGACAGCTACAAGCTTGACCCGTTCGGTTTCACTCGGAGGAACGAACGAAAAGGGAGAGTACTTGCTGTTGTAATGCTTGTCGAATGTTCCTCCTCGAAACAGTGGAACGATTTGGAAAGGGGCGAGTGATTTCTCCATTGAATGATATGTGGTGTAATGCCTTAACACTGAAAGCAAAGATAAATGGCAATTAACAGATTTAGTAAGATTTAGTAAGTAGCAGTTAGAGCGGTTTTCATTTGAGTGTCGAAAAGTAATTGGTTTTGCACTTTCTACACGATGCGATTGGCTTAAAAGATTCGCGCCACCTTTTCATCCAATCAGAAGTAAAACCAAAGCCAATTGTGACGCGCTCGCATGCATTTTCCCGCGCTTTGCGTCAGCCACATGTAATTACTTCGAGTTTTGATTGGTTCAATGTATTGTCTGTGTCCTATGTGATTGGCCAGAGTAATTACTTTGGTTTTGGTTTTACGACACTCAAACGAAAACCACTCTAACAGAGATGTAGCAAGTAGTATGGTCATATCTCTTTATTCGACATTACGTATACATTTTAATGAGGAGTAATTGAACCGTAATGTTATGAATTGCATGGCCATAGTGGGAATCAAAACGACCGGCAACTACCTAATTGATGGAAAAATTCGGTATAGCGGCACACTTGTGCAAGTTTGATGGGGTTTTGTGAGTTCATTAAACAAATTGTAAACTGCTGTTTGACGAACGTTGCTCTGTTCACAAAATGAATGACTCAAATCAATAGATGTCAATCTAAAATCACAATATATTTGCTCTTTTAACAAAGTATTTTCACCCTGATAAATAGGGAACGATAGCGAAGGTTAAAATCTGCAGTTAATGCTCTACAGTTCTGGTTCCCCTTTCTCTTTAAACCTGGAACAGTATGGTGACTTAGAAAGATGTAATTTTGTATTTTTTTACCTTGCACTTTTCCAACAAGCCTGATGTTAAGCGACGGAACCCAAGCCATCGCCCATGGAACAGTTTTCACGGTGAAGACGCATTTATTTTTTGAGCTGCGGTCTGTAGTTTGAAGCAAAGGTATCAACGGCTTCACAGGAGTTAACCAGCGTCCGATGCGCCTGTTAAGGGAAGAAGTAAAATCAACTATAAAATAATCGTATAAAATCAACCTATATATTTAGTCCATTTCCGTGAGTATTGTCTTATGGAAGTCCAAAGGCGACAATGCAAACAAAATTCACAAAATGGTTATGAAGTTTGCACGTTTAAGAAAATCAAAAATGTACACCAGTTACCCATTATCAATCCGAAAAGATATATATATATATATATATATATATATATTGTTGCATAGCAACCAAGCGACGCACTTGCAATGTGATAGCCTGCGCTTTAGGGGTAGGTTTTTTTAGGCCGAAATCAGAAATATCGAAGACGGCTCGCACGAGGGGAGAATGGAGATGAGGCCTCGTCTCGTCTTCTCGCGTTCCTCTCGCGCGGTCCGTAAAAACAAATAAAGGGCGCCTGCTACCTGGCTACGCAGGCTAGCAAAGAAATAAAACTATTGTTTGAAGGTCTGCAAGGTGCCATTTACCCCGGGAGTGATATATGGGGATTATGTATGTATGGTAGGAACCTTGCGTATGGCAAAGGTATAAAGGTCCTTGTTTTAAATCGGGAACTCATACAGTCCTCATAACACCGACGTTGCGCTCATTTTACCCCCTTGTCTTCATCAGTGCTTCGTTTTACTGGTTTTTCCCGCTCCAGAAACTGCAAGGGGAATAGTTTTTGGAATCACATGGGATGACAAGCGTTAGGTGGGCTAGGTCGCGAAGCAGTGCGGATGCATCTTTAAGTTTAGCCGCACTTCTGCGCAGCCCTTATTTCTTATAATATTGTGATGTCGAGGTGCGCCTTTCTTTGTAAGCCTGGTGATTACTGGAGGTCTTCTCGCCTAACAACCTGCTGCATCCTGTAAAATTTGCTAATAAAAATGATGATGATGATGATGATGTTACTTATGATGGTTGTCTTAGTTAAAATAGACCGACTTATAACCAACGCTTGTCCACTCATACGATCCCAGAAAACATTACGCCGAAAGCTTGTACCCATTCCCCTAATAGTTCGGCTGGAGTGGGGTAAATCTAGTTCAAGCAAAAAAAAATGATCGAAACAAGGATTTAAGGTCAAACCTGGGAATCAAACTCGGAACCTTCCGCACAGAAGACTGCGCCTTAACTGACTGTGCTTATCCTTGATAATAAGAAACCCCTAAATTGGCATGCATTAATTTACAAGTTTTTCATTAATTGAACCGGTGTTACATTGATATGGGCATCCCCGCATTTTGGGCATCCCTAATCCCAAAACCCAAGTGATATGCCATGGGCATCACCTACTTATATTACCTTAGCGAATTGGATTAAGGTTAGGGTTACGTCTCTAGGGTTTTGGGAATGGGGATGCCCAAAACGCGGGGATACCCATATCACCGTGACACCGGCGATTTGGGAGTTTTAAATGTCGATTGGATGAGAAGCTGACGAAATTCACCTTCTAAAAGGCGTTATCCACCGGCCTAGTTCCAGGCCACACAATTTACTGGCAGAGTTACAGCAAACGTATAGCTGTACCGTGTGATCCCAGTGTGCACAAGGGTCGTCTGTAGAGCCTGGACACGATAAAGAAAAGTCTAGCTCCACGTGCTCGTAACGCTGGAGATCTGGAGAGAGATACAGGAATCGTCAAGTTTCACATAACGGTAAACCACACAGAAAAGAGTACAGTTTGTTAAAAATCAAGGGCAGATCTAGGGGAGGGGTCCGGGACGGGGGCCCAGGGGCCAACACATCGGTTTTAAGGTAAAATTGATGAAACCCGCAGGGCGTAGAAAATTATTTCCCGGGGAGACCGGAGCCCCGTCAGTATCTTAGAGTCTAGTTGTGCGGGCACTCCGCTTTCAGTCATGAAGCCCCGTTAATACGATCACCAACGGGTAAAACTTGGCCGTAATACTGGGACAGGGTCAAATTTCAAGACTTTAGGGCCCGTAATGATAGACTAGACATATCACAGTTGCACCTCCGGAACACCCTAGCAACAGTAATAGGTCGAACACTCAGTGTTTCAATCAAAAAACGGATTTTACCTCACTTCCCAGACAAAGACAAACACAGACTGTCGCGCTTTTTGGTATCTCATGAAAAACCGCTTGCTGTTGCATCTGAATTCGCGCCGCACTCTACTATCTAAACGCCTGGAACAGGCTACCTTAATGTTAGCGCATCTGGAGTAGTAACCAGAAGGTCACAGGTTCGACTTCTGTTAGGAAAACTAGATTTGTTTTTCTTGGAGTCTACCTGAAGAAACACCATTATCAGTTCAAAAAGCAGGGAGAGAAATGTACCAAAACACGTGTGCATTGTTCTGCTCGGCTAATCTAAAACCTATTGCATTATTGCCGTTCTCGTTGCCATTAACCAACTCAAAGTTCGTCAAAAACACTTCGTTGCGCATCGAGTCATATTTCACTTCCCGTGTGTGATATATGAGGCTGATTTAGCAACAGAACGGGAACGTCATTTAACGACGGCGCGCGCAAATCAAACAACTGGCTTGACCAATGGCTGCGCAGCAAATTGGGCACTGGAAGTCGAGTTTAGTCCGTTCTGCGCTCTTTCCCGTCATCAAATGACGTTCCCGTTCTTTTTCTAGATCAGCCCATAATAGGCACGACAACGCAACGTGAAATGAGAACGAGAAAGAGCGCGGAAGAAACTGAGCACGACTTCCAGTGCTCAACTTTCCGCTCTGCTGCTGGGCTTAACTGCTGGGCTACCCTGGGCGCCAGAGACTTTTCATGCGCGGTTTCCGGTTTCCGCGCTGTCCAAATCGTGGAGCCGCACGCGAGAAAAAACCTCTAAAGGAACCCAGGGTATGGTCAAGCCAGATTAAGATCTGTGCGCGCCATCGTCACTGTCGTCGCGTTTCATTTCTAAATCTGCCTGTTAGTTTGCTTCTCACCATCAATAGACGGTATCTCAACTGTTGCAGTAACTCCTTTCTCTCCTTGCATGACTGTGTGGTTGAACACATTTATTACAACAGCATCTCGTGTTGTTAAGTTTTTAAGCAAATTGGTTTTGTAGTTAAACCTGCAGTGGACAAAACACAATAAAACCGGTTAGTTCATACGGTAAAAGGTTTTAGCAGGTTTAATTTACCTAAGCTTCCAGGATCAACCTCCTAAACTGAGGATCCAAACATCCGTCAGAAAAAAAATAACGCTTTAAAAACCAATGGATATACCGCGGACGGTTGAAAATTAAGCTATTCAAAAAGGCATTGTTCACAGATTCCAATTTGTCAATCTTGAGGGGCTCGTGTGCGTGACTTTCGAATCGTTATTTACAATTGGAGAGCTTTACTTGCAGACTGCGTGTATCCAGGCCATTCTAGTTCCCAGAGCTGCAATCCTTTTGGTCAGCGCCACAGTTTGAGAGCCGCAGCGCTGACCAGAAGGATCGCAGCTCTAGGAGGACATTAAATGTAAACGTGACATCAAACAAATATCGATGTGTGGTTCTAGTCATTCTCTGCTCACCATTGCGCCTGGTAGGCCAAGAACCGCATTGAAGGATACAAAAACCAGCCTGTCTCTTGCACTTTCCCTTGTCCGTCAATTCCAAATGCAAAAACGTCAGAGGGAGTGTTTTGAAAGCGGATGTACGATCGGCTGCTACCTTTTATTTTAAAACCTGTATCAAATGTAATCATGGAAGCTGGAATGTTGAGTTGGGTGTTGCACTCGGATCCTTGACAGTTCATGTCCTCTAGAGGCTGATTCTGGCGAGCAAAAACTAAAACACCCAGCGCGCCATTTTTCTGACAGTTCTGAACCTGAGAGAAAAAGTAACAAAGTGTAAGATCTGTCTTACATTAGCCCTCTTGATACCCTTTTATAACGTTTTGAAAGATGATAAAGATGCGCGTAAAAAGGTTTTCTTTCTTATGCATCATCAGTCGCACTTATTTCTTAAAAAAATAATGCTTAGGGTAAAAAAATAACTGGAACAAACTCAAGAGCGAAGCTCATGGTGAACTGGATGGCCGGTCATCCCTCAAGGAGAGGACATTATTAAACAGAGTAGCTATAGCTAGAGCGAAGCATCGTTTATTTCGTCGGTGCGCTAACGCTGCCAAATACTGGCCCATTTTCTTACATCAAACTCGACTTCAGGGCATTTAAAAGTTTTGAAATCAGACTTCGAGGAAAAATAAAACATTACGCTTTTTTCTTCATAAACTATGGCAAAAGTAAGGCAAACCCAAAGAAAAAGTGGAAATTTCGAGGAACTTTGTATATGGTTAGCCCACCGCATTTCTTGCATGTGTTTAACGAAAAGGTCTATTAAATTGAAATCTCAGTTTATTTTGTTTTCAACAGGATATGTGCTATAAAAGTTCCCTATAAACGTACCTTTATGAGGTATGAACAGTTTCCGGTTTCATTGGAAACAAGGGCAAGGTGACCAGCGGCTCTATTGACGAACGTATCTGGTGAGCATGCGTCACCCACATAGACAACTAACAGATGACCATATTTGGCGAGGGTATCCGGGGAAGGCAACCAATCATATCGAGCGTCTAAACGCCTCGCCACGCAAACCATTTCACCTATGTCAGAAGAGCAATGAATTAGTTTGTTAGTGTACATGCGATATTGGCAGAATTATTTTTTTCGCGTTAAAACAAGCTTGGTCAATGAAGGATTTATTACACACGGCCACAAAGAAAACTCTTTCTTGCCGTACCAAAGAGCCAAATCCCGAGGAGGGCAAGATCGCTCGGAACAGTCTTCTTTAAATCTCTTCTTATAAATGCAAGGGAAATAAAGTTTGTCACTGACCAGAAGCAAAGTGGAAACTTTGGCCAATCATAAAAGAGAATGACCGCGCTCCCTCCCCTCAACCAAACTTTCCGATTTGTTTGTGGGGGGAGGCTGTACACAGGCTAGTTACCTTGCTCGTCTTCAACCACAATCTGGTCCAGCCCACAATTATGCCCGGAACAGTACCACTGGGACAGTACACGCGGAATCCAGTTACCCAGGGTGGATACAGGAAAAACCGCGAAATGAACACGTGATAGCCAATTTTGTTGGAACTCTGATGGGAGAGGGCTTCTTTCATTAAACTCATACTCATCAAACTGGCTGCGAACTCGATTGGAGGGCCATCTCAGTTTTTCCAATCTGCAACTGAAATATGAAAAAAAAGTCTGTTCTACTGAAAAACTAGCCTGAGAAAACAGCCAAGACGGCGGCGGAAGCGAGGCGAGACGACTGTGTCCGCAGGCTACCTTAAAACAGGAGGAAATGTTTTGGATTTGCAGTCATATCATCGAATACAAGGCTTCTTGGAGTAGTTTGGTTGAAGGGACAGCCATCCCCTCAACCCGGCCCACCCTTATTCCGTCCCGCTGGGATATGGAGGAACAGAAACCGCGTCACGATAAGTTCAGTCTGCAGAGTGCTTGACTGCAGAGCAAGAGGTCGAGGGTTCGATTCACAGGACCGAACCTAACCTGCAAAACAAAAGGGAAGAAGGACCGCCTGATCGCAGGTAAGACCGGACCAATACTCACGGTATTAAAATAACTGAGAAACGAAGATGCTGCCTTCTACTGCAAACGGCTGGACCTTTGCGTGGCTCAGATGACCACGTAAAATGGCGGTCCCGCTCCATTAGGAAAGGAACAAAAAGTACATTCAATTTGCACTTTAACAACTCAAATAAAATGCAAATTTTTTTTAATGAAGAAACCAAAGCTCCTAACGTCGACTGTCCTCAAATGTTAAATGTATTCAGTTTGAGGTGGGTGGGGGGTGGGGGATGAGAGGCTCCTCGAAAAAATTTCCCGAAAGCTGTTTGGGGATCGGGACTAGTCAATGAAAGCCGTCGGGATTACGGGATTGAGGTAAAATTTGGCCAAATTAACTTGCGTACTTACCTTTTGCGTTTGGTGTATGAGATAATGGCATCATAAAACCTGTTTGCAAACTCGTCAGCCATTGCTTTGACTTCGTTGTTGCAAGCTGTTGGCGCAGAATCGGCATAGAACAAAAACACGTAATTGACATTATCGGGTGAAATGTCTATCAGCTTGTTGAAACATTCTGGGTCGCTAAAGAGACTCTCCAAGAAGCCGGATCTTTTGGTGTGCGCCAGAAACACGATTGGTCCGTGAATGTTTGAATCGTTTGTTCCGTATTTTAAGATTTCTAGTGTATCGTACTGATCTGCCTTCCTTGCTTGAATCATGAACGGAGGTGCTCCATCGCCCAGTTTTAGGTTCGGTATTTCTGCTGAAAACGTTAAAGTGATGACGGAAATTGCAATTACCGCCGTAAAGCTAGAGGAAAACATCGCTTAGCTATGCTACTCTTTGTGTACAATTCTGTTGCAGAGTTCGTTCTCAAGTCGAATTCGAAAACGCTGCTATTAATATGCGTCTGTATGTTGGTTGTCACGCGATCGAGATGCATGAAACCTAACCTAACCCTAAGCTGTCAATCCATCTTAATCATTTAATGCTATACTGTCAACACTTAAGAAAATTAAGTCCCCCCGGAATTAGGGGAGGCACCCGGGGGGTACGGTATTGCCTTACATAACCTATATAGGTATGTGCCACACCATCGGGTCGGGTTTTTGCGCCCTTTTGGTCTGAAAACGGGATTACACTTTGCCCATTTTGGTCTGGAATCGGGTATGGTCAGGAGCCCTTTTTCAGATTCCGATTTTTTTAAGCAAGGACCAGCTTACAAAAAAAGACGGACCGGATCGTGGAAGGATATGATCAGCAATAAGTGAAAATATTAAACAAAACAAGCAAGGCTGATTTTACAGTCGGAAATATGTATACCTGGATTTTTGAAAACTGGGTAAGCAAAAATATCAACTCATCATTAGGACTACTTGGAAATTTAAAACAATAAAACTCGTTCAAAGGCCGATTAAAAGCCTTTATCTGACGCTGGGCAGTAAGCTAATGGTCCCTTGAAGTCCAAATTTAATCTGAAGCAAATTTTAGAACATCTATTCAGTAATCGGACTTCGCAAAGTTTCCGAAACCGGGTTCATTTCAGTCTAGAAATTTTAAAGTTAAGTGAACTGCAGCAAAAGAGTGCCTGGTTAATGCTTACATAACAACTTAAATAGTTAGCAAAGATAGTAATTCTATCGATAGTAAGATAGTAATTCCGTCTTCATCCACTTCTACACAAATCCCTAATTATAACCACAAAACAAGCAAAAACGAAATAAGCAAACAACACAGTAAAGAAGCTATTAGACAGGGGAAGTTGAGAAAAATTGCAGAATGTTTGCTGACCCGGTTTTCATAACTCCAGGTACACATATCAGCCATATGTGTATATTTTTTACCAATAATTCGGAAAGCACGGCGTTCCTTCTTCGGAGTGTTACATACATAAAGAACAGTGTGCAATATGATACTATGATTACATGTGAATATTTAAATAAGACTATAGTGAACGTTAAGAAAAAAATTAAAAACCGTTGAAGTAGTGATATAAAAGAAATTTAAAATGCAAAAATAGTATAAATAAATGATAAAAAACAAAAGGAACAAAGATTGTAATACATTTCCTCTTTTAATTTTGTACCAGAAGGTTCAAGAGTTTACCTCTCTCGATGAAGTATGCTTCTCTAGCTTTTCGCACACTGTCTCTATTAGATTTAATCAGGGGCACTCAACAGGAATATAGTTCAACCACTTAAACATAGCATTGTTAAACGTCTTTTAGTATTTAAACGGTATATATAGGCATATTTTTATCCCCTAAAAATTTTTCAGCTGTTCGGATTTCCTAGCTGAAAGTCTAATGATCCGAAAATTATAGGGATCAAAACTTACTTAGTCGAAAATTTCAGCCAGAAAAAAGGCTCCCGAAAATTCTAGGTGACCTTTTAAGGGTAAAAATCCGTTAAAAATGGGCAATTATACCATTTCATTTTTAGATGTTCAAAATCCTAGGAGAAGCGGTCAAGCAAGAAATTATACAACAAATGTTCCGAAAATTCAAATCTCAAATCGTCTTCCGAACCGATATTTTCTCAAAATTGACGTTGGGTTCCCCCTGGTGAAATAAAAATTGACGAAGTTAGCAAGAGTGATCGTTAATAAGAAAGAGTAAAAAAATTTTCAGCTGTTCGGATTTCATAGCTGAAAGTCTAGTGATCCGACTGGGAGGGATCAAAACTTAATTATTCGAAAATTTCAGCAGGAAAAAAGGCTCCCGAAAATTCTAGGTGTCTTTTTTAGGGAAAAAATCCGTTAAAAATGGGCAATTATACCATTTCATTTTTAGACTTCAAAAATCCTAGGAGAGGCGGTCAAGCAAGAAATTATACAACAAACGTTCCGAAAATTCTAGATCTCAAATCGTCTTTCGAACCGATATTTTCTGAAAATTGACGTTGGGTGGCCCTGGTGAAATAAAAAGTGATGAAGTTAGCAGGAGTGATCATTAGTAAGAAAGTGTTCTGAGACTGTGGTTGGTTTAGAGATATTAGATGGATTGTCAACTGTTCTGCGGTGTTCGTTGAAACGGTCTTTGAGTCATCGTTTGGTTTCACCTATGTTTGGAGCAGTGGTTGCATTGTATCATGTAGATGGCGTTTTTTTTAGTTACAGTCGATGTGATGAGTGATAGGTCTGGTTTCACTGTAGAGTGGAAAGTGTATGATTGACGTTTGTCCGTCAGATATGTATTTACAAGTGCGACAGTTTTTTCCGCTTGGGTATGAGCCTCGGGGCTGGTTGTGTCGTGTGAGATTGCGAAGTTTGGCCCTGACTAGAAAATCACTGAGGTTAGGGTTGAAAGTCTCCTCACCTCAGGTCTTGACCAAGTGATCCATGGAACATCCCACTGAACGAAGCCCGCACCTGTGACCGCACTGAAACGAAAAAACAAACAAACAAACAAACTGAGAGTATGTTAATCATTTTACTCTGTCCTATTCTCGATCTCTTAACAAAACACAATCCCACTGTCCAGTTCATGAACTGTTTGCTTTTAACTCTAATAGCTTTTTTTAAAAGACAAAAAAACGTGTAAATTGACATGAACTGCTTTCAATATGTCTAAAAAAACAAGATCTTAAAAAATAAAACGAAAAAAAAAATTCCGCATTTGTCAAGTGCGCTTTCGTCGGTGTTTCACTTTCCACTTAGTACTTATAATTTGGATTTTTTTTAGACTCCTGGTCGTTTATAGTTATGGAGCGCTTACCATTTGTACGGAAATTTCGGTGAAATTTTTCCTTGAGCCCCCGGAATGGTACTAGTATTGTTTTTGGTACCGACAACAGGAACGGGATTGAGGTGTACCATTTACAAAATACCGGTTAATTTTTTGCTTTCTCTTGACATGAAGTGTGGCACTAGTAATCCAAACAAATGGTACAAAAAATTTCGGTCGTTTCTGTAAAAATGGGAAAAAGGTTATGCCTCGAAAGGCATTACTTTTTTCCGGAAAATTTCCACCGGGATGAACCGTTCCATTTGAATTCTCCACGGAATTTCTGGGTTTTCCATACAAATGATAACCGCTCATGATTTCACTGATCATTAGTAAACGAAAACCTCTACATTGCGTGTCAAGAGGTTTCGTTTTCGCATGGCTGCGAAGCCGTCGTTCGCGTGGCTTGTCAATCGCGTCGTAGCCTGCTACAAAGTAGTTTTTGTGTCGTCACGCACTAAAAGCACTAAAAACGACTAATCGCGTCGTTAACCGAGTTTGTTTTTAGATAGATAGATAGATAGATAGACAGATAGATAGATAGATAGATAGATAGATAGATAGATAGATAGATAGATAGATAGATAGATAGATAGATAGATAGATAGATAACTTTATTTAAACACGGTTAAGATTCCTTCAGCATGTACAAAAAAAAAAAAAAATCTAAGATCTATTATACCTAACTAAACTATGCCGTGTAAAACTGTATTAATGTATGATCTCATTCAAAACTGTTGCGACACAGTTTGCGTTTAAAATCATGTAAAGAATCTGCAGATCTTAAATCATGGGATAGGCTGTTCCACAGCTTAGCTCCGCTATGGGAGAAACTTTTCTTTAAATAATTGGTACGGGGCAGTGGAAGGACTAATTTATTTTCAGTATTCCTCAATCGATAAGAAGTTATTTCGTCACGAGATACAAATTTAGATGTTAGATAGTCGGGAGTCATACATCATAATAGCCGTCGATACTTGTCTTTGGTGTTTAAGCTTACGCCAACCCAGTGCCAGGAACAGTGCCACTGTTAAGTCATGTCAGAAAGAAACCTTTGCTCGCAGATCGTCGATTTTCACGCAGAAAAAAAAAACAAGTAAAATCCGCCGCTTTGCGATTTCCTTTGTCGACATCCGCGTTCCGCACATGGCAACTTTTGAAAGGCGCGGGTAAGCATGCCTTGCGGTCATGTCGTCTGTGACGTCACAGACTAGCAGCCATCTTGTTTTACGTGCCAGAAGATAATGTGTCGAGAGGAAAAGTGATAAAAAGATGGTATTTCCCTCGAAATATCTCGCATTTGTCAAGCACAAATTCATCTAAGAAAATGAAAATTCTTTCTAGGCGAAGTATTGCTTGATATACGCTTCTGGAGTCAAAAGGGAAGTGTTTGTCTCGACCATCCATTTGTGTTGGGCTGCAGTTGTGTGTGTCAAACAGCAAAATTCTTCACGTTTGGGATGAATTCGACAAGGTACTGACCAGTGCTACAATTTCTTGGAGGGAAGGTTAATTGATAATCAAAAGTGGTACGTTTTTCTCGGGGTTACGGGAAAGAAAACTTAACAAAGGAAGTCAGAAGCCGAGGTTTGTCGACGGTGTAATTATGAACATGATGGCTTCTAGGACACAGAATCCACATGGATTACGTCAAATTAACTTGGACGAAATCTGGGATGATCTTAAAGAAGGAATACAACACGTTTATAAGCAACAGAGTATGTCAAAGCCACGCTATATGGAGCTCTATACGTATCCTTTTTATGAGAAATTTTACTGTACTAAGATTATGAAGTTGGCTTCCTTTGAGAAGTTAAAGCCAGCTTAAATGTATTGATAAACGGATTCAAGATGGTAATAATCCGGTTGTTAGTATTCAAACAGTTCAACAGTCTAATCACCTCATTTTTATAGAGTTCATGAAATTCGGTTTGTTTAATGTTATGTTTTAGTTTGCACTTTCTCTTTGTTCCTGTTGAATCTTTATTGAATTGATATGAAGTTGACACCTGAGTCTTATCAAATGCTGGTCCCAGGACCCCAGTTTCAACGCATGTGGGAATTAAGCTAACAGCTCATGTTCAATATATTAAAATTCTGACATGACTTTAAGGCTGTAGGGTCAAAATTGCAAATTTTTTACGACTCCATTGTCTCACAATTCTCAGGAGAGATTTAAGCACAAAGAACACCAAACCAAATATA